AACACACACACACACACACACACACACACACAAATGCCTATATTAGTAATGGACTTATAGGAAACTTAATCTCTTCCAGTTTTCTCTACTCACCACTGAAATTTCTAGGCAATTTCTATTGTCAATGCAATATCTAAATGGGAATTCAGTCCTGATTTTAAACTCTTGCTACACGTTATCCATAAAAGAACTTAGCTGGTATCTTTGAGTCCATAAAATTAGAAAACAACACACTATAGTTACAAAGCATATTTTTTTAATCTTCCTTCCTGCTCTCAAATGATACTAATAGATAGTTATCAATATGTAGGATTGAAAAATAACAGCTACAGGGAAATAAAGAGGTGATACAAAACTCTGTTCAAATTCAGATATTAAAAAAAATTACATACCCAAAGCTTCACTATAGTAGGAATCCCATGATTTCCAAAGAGTGTCAAACATGTAGTCCTGCAGATGGTAGGAGATGAAATTTCTTACTCTGTCAGTGAAAGACATCTGGTCGGTGAGTTCTGATAATATAGCAGGAACATAGGAAGGAGGGAATGGTACCTTCCCACAATGCTTTTCCACTGTTGAAGCTGGAGAAAACCTCAAGGAGTACATAAATGGAATTCCCAATTTTAAAGCTACTATATCACCACAAGGAAATACTGGATCTGATATCAGGATGTCAAATTTGCTTTTCTTCAGCTTGTCCATCAGCTTTTGGTTTTTGAGAACACCATCACAGATTTCTCTAGACAGTATGTGAAAGTTCTTGATGACTCTGGCTATCTCCTGATAGAATCTCCAAATGGTTGAAGGAGATGGCCTATTTTCCATCCATGTCAAAACAAAGTCCTTGATGACTCCTTCTATTCTTTCTTTGCCAAAGGGCACCTTATATATTTCAAATATTAGAGATGAGTTAGAGGTCGGCGAGATGAAAAGTGCACCAGAGGCAACTAAGACAGTCACGTTATGCTCCTTTTTAATCAACTCATCTATAAGTATCTTAATGTTCAGCCAATGACTCCCTTCCATTGGCCAAATCAGAACATTCCCACCAAGAGTGATTCCTAAAAGACTAATCGTAAGAGATAACAGCAGAATGTTCTTGTTTAACATGATGTAGCTTGATGTAGAAGACTTGATGAGATGTGACATAAATGAATTTCTCTGCTTTTTGAGCAAAAAGGAAAGGCAAATTATTTTTCAGTTTTGATTCAAAACAATTGATACCCTTAAGAGTCTTCCCTAGACCAAATGATACTACTCATGGTAGCACAATATTTTATGATAATTACAGGCTTGGGGTAACATGTGTCTTACTTCTCAACCTGTGCCTTTAGCTGGGTTATGATTCTTACTCTCTGATCATTTTCTTAAACTTGATCCTTCAAACCTTTCATTACATCTCATAATTGTGAAATTCTTACTATTAAATTCCACGAAGCCACTATATATCTCAACTCTACACTCAGGCCTGGGTACTGAAATATCAGATTGGGTCAGAACTTACTCAGAAATGTAGACATGCCAAGGCTATAAATTTTCCAATATTTAATAAATTTAATAAAATATCATTAGCAACAATTAAATATTATTATAGTAGTAACTGGTTCTTTTTTTTTAAAGATTTTATTTATTTATTTGAGAGAGAGACACACAGAGATAGAGACAAAGGTAGAGAGAGTAGGTGCAGGGAGGAGAGGGAGCGGGGAGGAGAGGGAGAAGCAGGCTCCCCAATGATCAGGGACCCCAATACAGGGCTCAATCCCAGGACCCTGGGATCATGACCTGAGCCAAGACAGGTGCTTAATGAGCTGAGTCACCCAAGCACCCCTAGTTACTGGTTCTTAATAGATAAGATTATTACAAAGAGAATACTTACAAGAATGTGATGTACAAGCAAATAGAGTAAGTGTAGTGTTTATTACTACTTTAATAATATGTTTAGAAAAATATTTTTAAAATTTTTTAAAATTTTATTTATTTGAATGGTGGGGAGAGAAAGAGGACGAGCATGGGGGAGGGGTAGAAGGAGAGGGAGAAGCAGACTCCCCGCTGAGCAGGGAACCCTACTTAAGGCTCCATCCCAGGACCCCGAGATCATGACCTGAGCAGAAGGCAGATGCTTAACCTACTGAGCCACCCAGATGCCCCATGTTTAGGAAAATGTTTTGTGTTAGTAATCACCGAGAAAAAATTATAAGTAAATGACTAAACTGTGTATAAGTATACATGCAAGAGATGATGGGTAATGTTACTAGTCAATAGGAGTTCTTTGAAGAGAATTGCTAATTCAACTTTGCTTCTGTGGAAAGTGCTGCTCAAAAGCTAGCTGGTCTGTGTGAGGAATAACTACTATACATTTAAACCAAACCTTTCATAATTGCTAGTATTAATTAAGCACTTGCTGTGTGTCAGACACTGTGCAAAGTGTTTTACATATGTTAATCTCATTTATTTCTCACTAGAAAAAGATTCAATGAAGTAGATCTTACATTCTCACATCAGAGAAGGAACAGAGAAGTTTAGTAATTTGCCAAGTTCATATAGTAGAATAAGAAAAAACTGGTGGTAGTAGCCTTCAGGCTCTTTGGCTCCCAGATCCTACTGTATTAACCACTAGAATACATTGTCCTATCACAGTGTATCATGTCCCCTTATCAGTTGTAAGAAACCTATCCATATAAACCATAAAGTGCCCCAAACATGATGACACAATATAAAATGCACAATATAAATTTGTGTAACCCAAACTGGATAAAGTAGGACAAATAATCTGGTAAAATAATCTCTATGAAAATTGTGCATGTGTATGCATATGTCCATGAATAAGCAGAAATGATTTTTTTGTTTTAATAAACCTGTTGAAATTAAAAATCTTATATTTTTTAGTTATGTCTTTTCTGAGCTCCCCTATCACCAAAGGTAATCTATAGGGAAACATTGATTGCTTCTTTAAAACAGTTACTAACTTTTACAAAGTACTATTCAGTATTTGGCAGACTAATCATATAGTTTGTGGTGTGTATTTCAATTCAAGTCTCCATATACTAAGATTTTATGGTATGTACAAAATTTCTGCCTGCTAGTGTCAACCTGATCCATAGTTATTTGCCAGGTTACTTTAAAATAGTTGTCATGATTCACTAGAACGAACAATTTGTAACAATTCCCTGTAATATATTCATTTTATTCACTATCATGGAATCAGATTCAGTTTTAAACAATTAAAATATAGTCAGTATATAAAATATAGTCAACAAATAAAATACTCAGTTTATTTGTGTTTATTGGGTGCCTACTAAACAGAGAACTCGCTGCTAAGTGAAAGATGAATCAAAGAGATAATTCTCATATCCATTTTATGCTCTCAGTGGAGGCAATTGCATATATAACTATAATAAAAATCAGTATAGTATATTAGAGTCAGCATGATAGCATAAGAATTTAGATTTTAGAATCAAAAACAAAGAATTCTAGTTTAACATTATGCTGCTTCATATTGATGAGACCCACTTTTCTCATCTATAAAGTAGAAATTAAAAACAATTTAAGAGGCTTTTATGAGTATTAAATAATACAAGAGAAATAATAAAATGTTTATTAATATATAATAAATGTATAACTATTCAATACTATAAATTATGTAATATGAACAATATATGAGATAAAAGTTATATTTAAATAAATAAAATAATATTGATTAAGCTATAATCACAGTGCCTGGAGTAAAAGACATATATAAAATCTCTTACTTTCTCATTTAATTGTTTCTCCTCACTAGAGAAAGAGACAAGTGCCTTCAGATAAAATGACACAGATAAAATGCATCAGAGCTCTATATAGAGATTGCTTTCTGTTGTTTGGGAGTTGGAGGTGGGGGCTAAAGATAGGGAAGTTTTATTAAAGATGTGGTATTTGATGCTCATCTTGGAGTTTGAAGTATCTGGACATGAGTGATGAGCAATGTGCATAAAGGAAACCAGTGTTATATCACAAATAAACTTCAATTTTTGAAAAAGCATTTCAATAATGGAACAGTATTAAGAAGCTTCTCAAACTTTTGAATTTTCATTTTAGATTTGTGTTCTTAAATTTGATAGAAAGCTAAATGAAGAAATTACATTGGCCATAAAGACTTAAGAGGTGGTAAATTAAGGTTTTTTTGAAAATGAAAAATGTGATTGTAATTATTCTGACCTTAAGATCACTGAAAAGCTAATCTACTCTCTCCAGAAAAATTTTTGGAGACTACAGCTAAAAATATGACTAATATATTCATGAAATCAGATGAGTTCAAAGGAAAAACTAATGTAATTAAAAATAAGTTACTATATACAAATTTTTAAATCATAGATCATGATAATAAAAGATGTGCTTCAATTAATTGCATAAAAAGGGAGCACATATAGTATTTACATTACCAAAATTGGTTCTAGCTTTTACAACAGGATTTTCTTTACAGAAACTTTAAATATCCCTTTTTTAATAAATAAATTTGACTTTTCATAAAACTTATTTGATATATATAAATTTAAAATATATAAATATAAAAATATATATATATACATATAAAAAATCCATTGCACAACATTAAGAAAATAAAATAACCACCAAAGGATGACATCTTGATTCTTATACACATGCTATCTTAAAGACTGTAGTAGTCACTTGTGAGAATCATTTTTGCCTTTATGTATTCACTTTATGTGTTACTTACTGAAGGACCAAATGAACTGTCCACTGTAGGAACTAGAGCTAATAGATAAACCTTTAAAGAGGCCAATGAGCTCACACTAGGATAAAACTTTCACTTTACTGCTCTATAAAACAGTTCCCTCAATATCTATCAAATTATTCTGAAGTATAATACCTGGGGGGAAAAAATCCAAATCTTTAAAAATAGAAATGGAAACTTTTTTAAAGTAATGAACCATGCTAAAAGTTAACCACAACCTTGTGATGATTGATATTTCTTTTAGAAGAAAATATAAATCCAAATATACATCATACATTACTTATATATTGCTTGTCATAAGATTTTTAAATTTCTTACCTGAAGTTTTCAGCCAGAACTTCAATAGTACTCATTTGCTATTTGAAAGTTGAATTTAAATAGATGCTACTTCAGTAAACATAATATGGTGAGAAATATGATCTTAAATAAAGAAGAGATTGTACAGATTTGTTTACTCCTAAGGTATTCCACTTCCATTCCATTATTAAGCAGATTAACCTTGTGTTAAAGGTGTTCCCTTCTATTGGTTTTCTGGCAACTATTTGCATTAAATATTGCCTTTGCTATTATGGTCTCCGCAGCCCTTCACCTTCCCTCCTCCCAACCCCCAACCAAGTATGTCTGGATATATCTGAAATAATGACTGGTAATAATTAATAATCATTGATTATTATTAAGAAGTATGGCAAATATCTCCCACACCCATGCAACATAAAATTATTATTATCACTACTAATTATGAAAAGAATTTTTTAATTGATTTCTTTTTTTCCTGATTTGTGTAATGATCAGAGGGGATTATGTTAGTTTACACAGTAGGAGCTACAGCAGAACTGAATTGCTCTGCATATGGAAGAAACATCTCAGAAAAATTCCAGTGTTTCTACTATCTTTGTATTTATTTTTTTTTCAAAGGTACTGCTTTATGTTGGTTCATAACCCTCCCAGGAGCTTCCCTGGCATAATCTGAAATTGGCCCCTGTATTCAGAGGGCAGGGAGAGACCAAAGAAAGAGGCAGTTCACTCCAGATTAGCAGGTGGCAGTTTTAATAAGCAAAAGGAATTTACACATGAAGCTTCTCTTGGGTGGCAGCAAGATGAATGGATCCTTGCACCCACCTGCAAAATCTTAAAAGTTTATAAAGAGGTCTTAACTGAGTTCAATCACATATACCCTGTAGGTTTTCCCAACACCACATAATTATCCCAAGGCAACGTCCTTGGAACAGCAAGTGGAACCCACAGTCCAAAGACAGGGGAGAGGTAAGGATCCTCTGAGTGTCGGGGTCCAGCTCACAGGTCAGCTGAGAATAGGCCGAGAAGATACCCCAGGGGCAGGGGTGCTGGTTCCCTCAGCCAGACGGAGGATGGCCAGTCC